TCACCGTTTAGGGTCTCGGCAGAAAGTCCCCAAAGCTGTGCGACCTCTAGCTGCCCAGACTCAAACTCCACCCTTAAAGTGGAAGGGAGGACAGGCACAGTTTCAGACCGGAGAACCCAAAAGAATTTTACCTCGGGCTCTGCTGTTCTACTTAAGAAATCTGGCTTTTGAAAAAACAAGGCATGAAGAAATCCAAGAAAAAAATCCACAAACTGCAGAGAGACAAAACAAGCATCAGAACTACACACAGATCTGATTCAGGTGTTGGAATTATCAGACAAGGAACATAAAAAAAATAACTGCATGTAACATGTCTCTTGTGGACCCAGATGAATATGGTGCAAGATCTAGTGGCTGAATTTCAGCAAACAGATGGAAACTATAAAAAAAAAATCAAATGACTTAAAAAGTCACTAACAGAGATGAAGCGTGCCTTCCACAGACTCATCAATAGCAGTGACACAGCTGAGAAGAGAATCAGTGAACTTGAAGTCAGGGCAAGGGAAATTACCGAGCTGAGGCACAGAGAGAAATCGGAGCAACAGGAACAGCAGCGTGTCCGAGAGCTGTCGGTCCCATCAAAATGTCTAACTATCTGCAACGGAAACCCCAGAGACTGAAGAGAAGGATAATGGTACAAAAGGGAAAAATGGTTGAGAATTTTCTAACATTAATACAGACACCAAACTGCAGATCTGAGGAGCTAAGAAAACATCAGAAAGTAACTGCCCAAAGCAAACCTTCCAGTTGACAAACGAGAAATAGATAAATTCTAATTGTAGCCCAACATTTAAGCACATGTCCACTCTAACTGAACAAGCAGATTATTTAAGTAGGAACACAGAGAATCACTACACACAACAATCATAGAATGCACGTTTTTAAAAACCATTTACGGAACGTTTACCAAAGCGCATCACTTGCTGGACTATCGTGCTGTGCTGCGCGTGGTCGCTCAGTCGGGTCCGACTCTTTGCGACCCCATGGACTGCAGCCCACCAGGCTCCTCTGTCCGTGGGGATTCTCCAGGCAAGGATACTGGAGTGGGTTTCCATGTCCTCCTCCAGGGGATCTTCCCAACTCAGGGATCGAACCCAGCTCTCCAACACTGCAGGTGGGCTCTTTACTGCCTGAGCCACCAGGAAGCTCTGTTGGACTGTCAAGCAAGACTTATCCTATTTTACATGATCAACACCATACGGAATGCACACAGCAACTATCGTAGAATTAACATGAGGGCTGTTTTGTTAATAATCTTGGTCTATTTATTCGGTGCCCTGAATGTCCTCATGCATAAGCATGCACGTGGGCCCCAAAATGGAAAAATGTCGTCAGCTTAGAGATTCCAAGTATGGTCGCCTAATAGTTGAGCTCTGAGAGACAGTCCGTCCAGAGCCCTGCTCAGCCCACCCCACCCCCCTACGAGTTCTCACATCCTCTGACTATCTGGGGCTCTTTCCCTTTTCTCACTTCCTTTGTGACATTCCTTCTGGCTCCCAGGAGCCACTCAATCTAATGCTAACTTGGGCCCCTGCCCCAAGCCTTAGGCTTTTCTCTAACTGCTCACATCTGTGGAGCATAGATTAAGGCCTTGGCCGTGGTCAGCCAGGTTACAGTTGGCTGACATCCGAGAGACCTTAGAGACGGTCTCACAGGGTCTGTGATGGCCACAGGGTCCCAACACCGCCCCAGGAGCATAAGCAGATCCTCAGACCCACCCAGCCTCTGAGGGTGTGAGGGTTCCTCACAGCTAACCCCACCGTGGGGTCACAGTCTGCGCTTTGACGGTACTGACCTCATCCGCATAGTTTTCCCAAAGGAATAAAACTCAGGGGACACTCACAGAATGGTTAAAAATTACTGGTGACTTAGGACATACTTCCCAGCACTACTTACCAAGAACCTCTTTCTGTTCCCAGCAACAGTTTTGCCTGACTTTGTCGGACTGGGAGAAAATAACTGGAGGCTTCAGTGCATCCGTGGCTGCGGGCGATGCAGGCCGTGACTCTGACGCCTGAGCCCCGGCGGACCCCTCTGCTCCACGCGGCCCTTGTCTTTTGCAACATGGAGGAGTCTCCCCAGCTGGGTGTCTCCCATCAGTACTCGTCCAGCCTCCCCATAGCGATAGCAAATGTGGAGTGGATAGTAGGACGGGGTTATTGGCTCCTCTGGAAGCTCACTTGTCCATCCCCCACCTTCGCCAGCTGCCGTCTGGGGCCCCGGCTCCCTCTGCCTATGGTGTGGCCTCGACAGTTTTCCCGTGGTGACTGCTTCCAAGAAGATGTGTGTCTCTCCTTTCTGTTTTTGGTAGTAGATATGCCCAATTCTCTGTAGTCAGCACTTTCACCTTCCTTATTCACATTAACTTAACAGCACCCAGCAGCCTTCAGAGGCTGGGTGGCCTGAGACAGGCTAGCCCGAGGTAAACATCACTCCCACCTGAGTGCATTTGAGCAGCCCCACCCGGCTCTCTACTGTGCCTGCCCTCTACGTGAATCCACATTCCATAATCCCCTCTTTAATTCAAAGCTATTTTATAGTGTCTTCGCCAACCCTAGCTTGGGGTCTGAAGCATCTCCTCGCTTCTGCAGACTTAGCCTGCTGCCCATCCAGGGCAGGTGTGTCCATCTTTGGCCTCACACCTAAGACAGGGCCCCCTGGACCCCCTGCAACGTGTCCTGACTGCTTCTTCCAGAGATGGTAAAAGGATGCAGAGAGGAGAGGTGCTGCCTCCCGAGACAGGGTTGGGGGGGAAGGCCCGCTCTGTCTTTACTCCTCCATCACTGAATTCCACAAGGTCAGGCTCCTGGATTTAGCGCTACACTAGTTCTTCACAATCTAACCAGTATTACCCATTGGAAAAGGCAGAGATATTTGTCAGATGGATAAACTGGAGTCCAGAATTCTTGAGAATCATCATTTGTGAAAGATAAATGCTTTTGTCTCCATGGGAACTAGCCCCGTCCTCCTCTCCGCCTCCTTCTTCAGCAGGAATTATGAAGATGCATTAGCAGAGCTGGGCTGCACTCACCCTGGCAGAGGGCAGTGATTCCCGGGTGCAGGCTCCCACAGGATAGACACAAAGACCCCTCTAGGCGTGAGAAGTCTACATGTGGGTCCATAATGATTTTCTTTCCCTTGAAACATTTTCTGAAAAAGGCTTCACACGAGCATTGGACAATGGTTCCTGGACACCTAGACTGTAATTGTTTTGTTCTGACAACTTACACCATTAACCTTAAAAAATAAGGGAGCATTTCCAGCCTTCTAGAAGTTTCAGCTGGCTTGATTTTCTTCCAGGAAGACATGTTAGTAGAAAAGCTAAGAAAGATCAACATTACCACAAACCAGGAGTCGATTGGCATGTGTGTGCGTGCGGAGTCCTGAGGTTGGGCCTCTCCTGCTTCTCACCCCGCTTCCGTGGAACCACTCGCTGTCTGGCAGCGCTTCTGGGCCCAGGGAGAGACCCAGGGAAAGCCGACAGCCGGTGGACACATTTGTGGGAAACAAAGGCAGGATTCACAGAGAGGCCAGACTCACCACTCCCCTTTCTCCTGGGATTTCAGTCTCTTAAGAAATCGACAGATACACTGTGTGTTGTGTGGCTCCAGGCCCTTCCCTGACTAGTAAAAGTCCCCAATCGGCCATGACTGAATTGTATAAGGAGCCCCCGGCCTAAATCTTTCTTTCTGAGACCGCCCTGAACGGCAGGGTCTGCAGACAGTTCCCTGTGATACCCTTGTAGATTTTGGTTTTTATCAAATAACCCAGTAAGTTCCATGAAAGCCAAGAGTTATTGAGATAAGTCCTAGTTTTGTTCATGGCTGATTGTTCTCTGAAAAAGAAGAAAAGCATATTCTTCATGCTGGAAGTGATGCTGACATCCACACAGCCGAAACCTACCTTTTCATAGAGGTAGAAACCAGGCTACAGAGGTCCACGTGCTGGCTCTGGTTCACAGCTGACCGGAGGCAGAGAGGCTGGACCAGAGTCCCCTGGCCTGGCCTCCCTCTGGATCCGCCCACATGTGATCTCAGGGCCACGGTGAGGGACCCCGTAATGCAAAGACACCATGCCCCGTGTGTTTGTTTGGAAGCTGGTGGCTTGGTGTTTAGGAAAAGAGTGTCCCACCAGCTCGGTGTGAGAGAGGTAAGTACACTCCACAGTCGGCCACCAAAAGCCCACCTGCCCTGAAATGGGGATGAAGCAGAGCAGGAGCCCGGCATTGCGGGGAGACTGGCAGGGAACGCGTGCAGCATGTCGTTCTGAAAGGCGGGCTCTCCAGCCCGGGATTTACTGCTTTACTTCTAAAGTGTATATTTTCATTCCTTTCATTCAAGCAGGGACGCTCTGTGTGCCTGCCGCGTGCTCGTCACCCTGTGTGGTGAGGCGGGCCTGAGCCTCATAGAGGTCACGTCACCGTGTGGAGGCTGGAAAGTACTCCGGGTTACTCAGCATGTCAGGAGCTGCAAAGTGCGGGAGAAGACGGAAGCAGGAGGACGGTGGCGGGCTGACGAAGGAGGCGCTGCAGCTTTCAGTGAGATGCAGGCGGAGGCATCGGTCCCTGAGAGCGCCCCCGAGGAGAGGGGGTGCAAGAGAGAGAGCGTGCCCTGTCACTGAGCCTGCAGGACCTGCAGCCTGGGGAAGCCGAGGGTATCCGCTGTGAACCCAGACAGGGAAGGAGAAGCCCTGTATGCAAGGCTTTCTAGACCAGTTACCAGTGCCTTTCATTTTTAATAAAACGAGGGTCATTTCATGACTCTGGACGGAGGTGTAACAGGGTCTGTCGTTACTTCTTCAAAGGGTCACTCTGCTTTTTCGTTGCAAGTGGACTGTGTCTGAGAAAGCTCGCAGATGAAGGAGACTTTATGAAGCTGCTGGGAGAACCGAGTGGGAAGGGCAGCGGCTCCCCGGGCTGGACGTGCGGGACGCGGCCTCAGGGGATGTTGGAGACGTGGATTTACTGATGCAGGCTACAGGGGAAATGGGATTTTTGGTTTCTACAGGAAGCGCAAGCAGAGGCCCCTCGTGGAGCTGTGGAAGCAGGCATGGGGGAAGTCAGCGCACACTGCCTTCACCACCACCGCATGGTGATTTTGTGACGCCTCACAGGGCCCGAGAGGAGGCAGAAAGGGGGCCATTCGAAAGCGTGGATGGTAACTGTTCCCTGGGAGTGCAGTCATCCTTAGCCATCCCAGGGCGCGCGCCTCAGTCTTTGTGAGCGGTGTTCCCGAGCTGCTGCAGCTCCCCCGTGATGACTCCAGGCGCGTCGCCTGACACAGCAGAGCCTCGCTCCGTCCTAAGGCGGGCTGCTCGTTCTGACGGCGACACGCGGCTGTGATGACTGGGAAGCTGACTTGACAGGCACCTCTGCTGGTCCTGCTGATTCCCATCACATCTGGTGCAGTCAGGCCCTCTCGGACTGGAAATCCAGAGCAACATTTTAGAGGCAGAAAAAATAAGGCCCAAGCTGCATAGCAGTATCTGGGGTCTGGAAAGAGCAGATCCCCCACTCAATTTGCTCAGTCGTATCCAACTCTGTGGCCCCATGGGCCGGAGCCCGCCACGCTCTTCTGTCCACGGAATTCCCCAGGCGAGAATGCTGGAGTGGGCTGCCATTTCCTACTCCAGGAGATCCTTCCGACCCAGGGATCAAACCTGAGTCTCTTGCTTTTCCTTCACTGGCAGGCAGACTCCTTACCACTGTGCCACCTTATTATTTATTTACTCTTCTTCTAAATTTCACATAGAGGTGATGCCATACAGTATGCATTCTTTTCTGACTTATTTCATTTAGCAAACTACCCTCTACATCCTTCCATGTTGTGGCAAATGGCAAGATTTTATTTATTTATTTATTTTTGCATGAGTAGTATTCCATTGCATTCATGTGTATGTGTGACTTCTTTATCTATTCACCTACGGGTGAACATTTAGGTTGCTTCCATAGATTGCCTATTGTAAATGATAGTGCTTTGAACTTTGGGGTGCACATATATTTTGGAACTAGTGGGAGTTTTGTTTCAGATAAATATCCAGAAGTGAAATCACTGGATCACATATTAATAGCAGTTTTTAATTTTTGAGGGATCTCCATACTATTCTCCACAGTGACAGCCCCAGTTTACATTCCCACTGACAATGCACAAGAGTCCCCATCCTTCCACATCCTCACCTGCACCTTCTGGTTCTTGCCTTTTTGATGGTGGCCATTCTGACAGGTGTGAGGTCATACCTCACTGTGGGTTTTATTTGCATTTCCCTGATGATTGGTGATGTTGAGAGTCATGTAACTCTTGACATCTCTATGCCTTCCATGGAAGAATGTCTACGCCTTTGCCCACTTTTGACGGCATTGTTTTAATGTTGACTTGTGTGAGTTCTTTTATATTTTGCTTATTAACCACTTACTGGATATATCCTCTATCGTGCAGTAGGCTGCCTTTTCACTTTATTGATAGCTTCCTTCACTGTGTAAACATTTTTTTTGGTTTGATGTAGTCCCATTTATTAATTTTTGTTTTTATTCCCCTTGCCTCAGGAGCCATTTCCAAAAAAGTATTGCTAAGACTGAAGCCAAAGAGTGTGCCCCTCTGTTTCCTTCTAGAAGTTTTATATTTCAGGGCTTAGTTTTAAGTCCTTAATCCCTTTGGAGTGTACTTTTGTACATGATGAGCGGAAGTGGTCCAGTCAGACCTTTTGGCATGTGAAAGTCCAGTTTCCCTAACCCCATTTACTGAAGACTCTGCCTTTCCCCCACTGTGTGCTCTTTCTCGCTCGGCCACAGATAAAGTGACTGTGTAGACGTGGGTGCGTTCTGAGCTCTTTGTTCTGTTCCTTCTTGTTGATCTGTGTGTCTGCTCTTGTGACAGCCCCGTGCTGTTGTGATTAATGTCGCTTTCCAGTGTAGTCTGGACTCAGCTTGCATGACACCTCAGGTTCTGCTCGGGGGGCTCCGCTCCGCGCTCTGCGGAGACGTCCATGGGAGGAGATCTGGAAGGAGGGAGCATGTGTGCGCACGTGACGGTTCACTCTGCTGCCAAGCGGACACAGCGTTGTAAGGCAACTGTGTTCCAATAAAAGTCTTTTGCAAATAAACATTGACTATTTGGTCTTTTGTGATACAAATCATATATACATATATATATATATATATATATACACACACACATATACACATATATTTTGTTCTTATTGTTTAGTCACTCAGTCGTGTCCAACTCTTTGTGACCCCGTGGACTGCAGCACACCAGGCTTCCCTGTCCTTCACTGTCTCCAGGAGCTTGCTCAAACTCATGTCCATTGAGTCAGTGATGCCATCCAACCATCTCATTCCCTGTCGTCCCCTTCTCCTCCTGCCCTCAATCTGTCCCAGCATCAGGGTCTTTTCCAATGAGTCAGCTCTTTGCATCAGGTGGCCAAAGTATTGGAGCTTCAGCATCAGTCCTTCCAATGAATATTTAGGACTGATTTCCTTTAGGATAGACTGGTTAGATCTCCTTGCTGTCCAGGGGACTCTCAAGAGTCTTCTCAAACACAAAAGCATCAATTCTTCAGCAGCTCAGCCTTCCTTAGGGTCCAGCTGTCACATCCATACATAACTACTGGTAAAATCACAGCTTTCACCTCATGGACTTTTGTCAGCAAAGTAATGTCTCTGCTTTTAATATGCTGTCTAGGTTGGTCACAGCTTTTCTTCCAAGGAGCAAGAGTCTTTTAATTTCATGACTAGTCCTGTGAAAAATTCCGTTGGTATTTTGATAGGTATTACACTAAATCTGCAGATTGCTTTGGATAGTATGGTCATTTTAACAATATATTAAAACACTTTTTTATTTAGTTTTTTTACTGTCCTGGGTCTTTGCTGCAGCACTGTTCCTCTGGTTGCAGAGCGGGGGCTCTAGCTGTGGGCACGGGCTCTCATCACAGGGGCTTCTCCTGTTTTGGAGCACAGGCTCCCGGCCGCCTGGGCTTCAGCAGCTGCAGCACGTGGGCTCGGCAGCTGTGGCTCCCGGGCTCTAGGCCACGGGTTCAGCAGCCGCAGTGCACAGGCTTAGTCAATCCGCAGGATGTGGGAGCTTCCCAGGCCAGGAGCAGAACCCACGTCCCCTGCATTGGCAGGCAAATTCTTTACCACTGAGTCACCAAGGAAGACCCACTGTAACCACACTGATTCTTCCAATCCACGGCCAAAGTATACTTTTCCATTCACTTGTGTCCTCTTCAGTTTCTCTCGTCAGTTTGCAGAGTATAAATCTTTTCCCTCTTTGGTTAGATTTATTCCTAGGCATGGGAATGCAAACAGTGAGAGACTTTATTTTGGGGGGCTCCAGAATCACTGCAGCTGGTAACTGCAGCCATGAAATTAAAAGACGCTTGTTCCTCGAAAGAAAAGCTATGACCAACCTAGAGAGCATATTAAAAAGCAGAGACATTACTTTGTCAACAAAGTTCCATCTAGTCAAAGGTATGGTTTTTTCAGTAGTCATGTATGGATGTGAGAGTTGGACTATAAAGTTGAGCGCTGAAGAATTGATGGTTTTGAACTGTGGTGTTGGAGAAGACTCCTGAGAGTCCCTTGGACTGCAAGGAGATTCAACCAGTCCATCCTAAATAAGATCAGTCCTGAATATTCATTGGAAGGACTGATGCTGAAGCTGAAGTTCCAATACTTTGACCAACTGATGCAAAGAACCGACTCATCGGAAAAGACCCTGAGGCTGGGAAAGATTGAGGGCGGGGGGAGAAGGAGACGACATAGGATGAGATGGTTGGATGGCATCACCGATTTGATGGACATGAGTTTGAGCAAACTCTGGGAGTTGATGATGGACAGGGAAGCCTGGCGTGCTGCAGTCCATGGGGTCGTCAAGAGTTGGACACGACTGATCGACTGAACTGAACTGACTCCTAGGCATTTCATTCCTTTTGGTGCAAATAGATACACTGATAAACTCTATGCCAATTAATTTTGAAAACTTCAATGAAATGGTTGGATTCCTAGAGAAATACCTTATCCAAAATTGACTCAAGTAGAAACACAAAACTAGAATAGTTCTATAACCATTACAAAATTGAATCAATAAATATTCCATCTTTCATCCGAAGTGGAGAATCTTATTACACACGTGCTATCATCTATTATACATCCTTGGGTTACTTTCATCTTCTAGGTTAAATACCCCCAAGGGGCAATTAACTCAGGTTTATCCCCAGAAAGAGCTGGTTCAAGTTTTACCCATTTTAGTGGCTTAGTCAACAAATATTAATTTAATTGGCTGAAGCATCAAGTTTTTTCATAAAATTAACTAGTGTTCTCATTTCTTGTTTACACCTCTCTTCTAGAGCCTTAAGAAACAAAGTGTTCTCTCTCCAGTCTGCAACAGGATGTTGCCTTGGAAATGTCTTTCAAGAACAACAGAGGGAACTAGCTTCCTATTTTTGACCCCACCCACAGTCAATGGCCCTGAAATTTAACTTGATAGCTATTGTTTTACCTTAATGTTTATAATTTCAATAAGAAATATAAGTACACATGCATGCATATTTATGCAAAAATGACATAGAATGTGACCTTGGTTTTTATAGACTTATTAGCACTGACCTTTTCCTTTATTCTTTAAATTTTTTTTATTGGAGTATAGTTGATTCACAGTGCTGTGTTAGCTTCTGCGGTACAGCAAGACGACTCAGGTGTGCATGTACACACATCCCCTGTCGTTTAGACTCTATTCTCATGTAGGTCATAAGGGGCTTCCAAGGTGTCGCAAGTGGTAAAGAACACGCCTGCCAACGCAGGAGACGTAAGAGACCCAGGTTCAGTCCCTAGGTGGGGTCGATCCTCTGGGGCAGGGCATGGCAACCCACTCCAACATTCTTGCCTGGAGAATCCCACGGACAGAGGAGCCTGGCGGGCTGCAGTCCATGAGATTGCGGAGTTGGACACGACTGAAGCAACTTAGCATGCATGCAAAGGTCACTACAGAGGGCTGAATAGTTTTATCTTTAATATTTGTTATTTTGTCTGATCTACGGTATGTGTGGAACACGGATTACAATGCTAGATCTTTCAAAGCAATTGTATTTGATTTCTAAACTTGCAATCAGCTCCTTCACCCTACTCCAGGCCTAATACAGTAAAGTGAGTCAAAAAGGCTTGGAAAATTCTAGGCTACCCACCTGGATTTCACCATATTTTGCAATTCTGGAAGTGGTGATGCTGGGTACCTGGGAATCAGAGGACTGTTCTTGACTGAGACACGGGTCTTACTCAACTCTCAGGGGAAGGTGCACAGCCTTTCCTAAACAAAAAGAAGCAAGAAATCAAGAGAGAACAGAGGTCCTTCTGACACCCGAGCGGGAGGGGAATCACAGAAATGACAGGTGACGCTGAGCTGTCAGGAGCCTCAAGAGCTCAGTTCCGCCTTTTCTCTGCATGAGTGACAGCGCCTTAGAATTACAGATAAAAGGTATTCAAATAGTCTGCAAGCCAATCTGGACCACGTGCCTCCTGGAAACGTGAAGGTGTACCCCTGGCAGGAACGAGAGGGTCTTTGCCAGCCGGTGCCCCGGGGAAGTCGGAGGCACTCAGCACCGGGAGCCCCGTGCACCGGCTGACGCCCTTTGCGCCTGTGATGAGCCCGGGGGCTTCCTCCCGAGGACTGCAGGAATCCGGGCTGTTTGCCTCCGTGCGCCCTGGCCCCCGGCTGGCCGTGGTCAGCCCCGGGGTCTGCCGCACACCCGCATCCTCCCCCCTTTCATTCTGCCCTTTGGGTTTTCCAGATGGCGTGTCTAGCACTCCTTTTCCTGTTTTCGGCAGACCCTTGCTTCCAGCATCACTTCCCCGTGCACTGTATTTTATAACAGAGTTAAAACTAGTTTAAAACCTGAGTGGACGTCACGGTCTTGAGCCAGAGCCAAGTGTACTCCGAGCTCAGGGCAGCTCTGTGGTTGCTTTAAATATTCATGTTTGTGTTTGTACAGGACTGGGGCCTCTGCAATATAAATGTTAAAACTGAGCTCTCAGGGTCATGAATAAGATAACTTGGTGTTTGGACGTGGTAAACTCTGTTCACTCTCGAGTCAGAATCTGAAAGGTCAGTTTCAGCACAGATATCCTATCTGTAACTTATTGTTGGCAATTATTTAAAATGTTTTCTTTTGTTTCTCTCTTCCACCGTCTTCTATCATCAAACCAAATATCAAAAATATTTGATGTAGAAAATTTCAGTTTTATTCACAATATTAGTTTTCCTACCCCCTACCTTCAGTAATTAATCTACATTTGAAACAGCAGATAACTATCTGATCCAAACCAAATTACCTCATTGGTTTTGTTTTCATCTTTACTGACCTGATCTAGTAGCAATAGGTTCTAGAACATGCCATGATTCTAGAACATAGAATCTAATAATTTATACAATTATGCTTTATTTAAAGTCTCTGTTAACCTACTGACCAATAGACTATTTTTCTTTTGTTATAGTTTCATTCATTTTGATGGATAATCATAATACTCTTAAATACCCTCTATTCCTCTGAAGCAGAGGTCACTAACTTACCCTAGATTTACTTTTTATATAAACTGGTAAGTCAAATGAATTAGTTGAATTTACATTTTATTAGTCTCTGAATCAATGACCTCACTTGCCTTTTTAAGGATTTCTTTAATTATTGCCTATTGAGTCATGGTGTTTGCTGGACCAACACTCAACACATCTTTGTGATTTCACTGACTTCATCTCTCCCTCTCCTTCAGAAGCACTTTGGAAAGTAAGATGAATATGTCACATATTAGTTTAGTTTTTTTTAAGCATCTTTCACATGCATAGTGGCAATAAAAATACAGGTCTACAATCTGTCATCTGCAATTCAGGAGCCCAAACACACTGGCAAAACATTTTCTGTGCGTTTGTTTACCTGCCGTTTGGAGGCAAACCTGCTGCGCTGCAAAGCTGACAGACAGCCGCACCTGCCCTGGGCAGGTGGGACCCACCTCCGGCTCCGCCCAGGATGCTCAGGGTGTCTGTCCCGTCTGCTCCGGGAGCTTGGAGAGCTGGGAACTCAGGGAGGTCTGAATCTGACACACAAGGGATTCACAGGGTTTGGGGTAAGGGTTTACAGGCTTATATTTCAAAATAAAGTTGAATTTGAGGTTTTCTAGATGGTGATTGTGTTGGGTTCGTTTCAGTATAAAAGACGAATTGCAAAAATTCGGTCAAGGTCAAAATCATTTCTTGAGCTCTGATAAGATGCTGATTTACTTTTTCACCATTTCAGAAAGGGCTAAATAATTTTAGAAATGCAGAAATCCTAAAATAAGAAAGTGTTTACTAAACAGTATTTCCCCCTAGAATTAGGGCTTTGTCTTTAACTGACAATCTTACCTGCTTTCAAGTCAGTTTATGGCAGGCACCAGAGTGACCTGAATTTCATCTGAGTCCCCAGGTGAAGCCATCATTCCAGGAACAACGGAATGTTCATAGAGGGAAAAGAAAAAAGAAAACAATACCCAAACAAGCAATGCGTATCTTGGTTGTTTCAGATGCAGAGGTAGGATTAGCCCCGTGTGAAGCTCTGCGGTCCCCCTCTGACTTTAATCCCCCAGTGCTTCTCTCAGCAGACCCCAAAGTCCTGTCTTGCTTCTGGAGCAAAGTGCTATTTCTTAGCTGGTAACTAGTTCCTCCTGAGGTTTACCTTCCAATGATGAGGTCACCTTAGAGAAGACTCCATCTGGGCCACATTTACAGAGTCAGACGTGAGTTAGAGACTGAAAAACAACAATATGGTAAAAGGCGATGCTTGGAGATTCAAACACGGAGTCCTCAGGAAGTGAGCCCGTGACAGAGGAGTGACCGGAATCAGGGGAGCATCCCGGGGAGGACTCATGCCTGTCACTTCCTAACGATGCCACCGGCAGACACCGCGCTCTGCGGCGGCACACCTGCGCTGCGTTCCGGAAATATATTTGACTTGTGTTGCTTTGGTTTTTCCCTCTCTACGTGCCTTAAACATACACGTGTGTGTGTGAGTGTGTGTGTGTGTATGTGTGTGTACATCAAGAAAAAAAAGAGATGTCCTTTTCATCATAGGGGACTGGAATGAAAAGTAGAAAGTCAAGAGATACCTGGAATAACAGGCAAGTTTGGCCTTGGAGTACAAAATGAAGCAGGGTGAGGTTGACAGAGTTTTGCCAAAAGAACGCACTGGTCATAGCAAACACCCTCTTCCAACAACATAAGAGATGACTCTACACATGGACATCACCTGATGGTTAATACTGAAATCAGATTATATTCTTTGCAGCCAAAGATGGAGAAGCTCTATACAGTCAGCAAAAAAAAAAAAAAGACTGGGAGCTGACTGTGGCTCAGATCATGAACTCCTTATTGCCAAATTCAGACTTAAACTGAAGAAAGTAGGGAAAACCACTAGACCATTCAGGTATGACCTAAATCAAATCTCTTAGGATTATACAGTGGAAGTGACAATAGAGTCAAGGGATTAGATCTGACAGATAGAGTGCCTAAAGAACTATGGACAGAGCTTCATGACATGGTACAGGAGGCAGTGATTAAGACCATCCCCAAGAAAAAGAAATGCAAAAAGGCAAAATGGTTGTCTGAGGAGACCTTATAAATAGCTGAGAAAAGAAAAGACTCAAAAGGCAAAGGAGAAAAGGAAAGATATGCCCAAATGAATGCAGAGTTCCAAAGAATTGCAAGGAGAGACAAGAAAGTCTTCCTCAGTGATCAATGCAAAGAAATAGAGGAAAACAATAGAATGGGAAAGACTAGAGATCTCTTCAAGAAAATTAGAGATACCAAGGGAACATTTCATGCAAAAATGGGCTCAATAAATGACAGAAATGGTATGGACCTAAAAGAAGCAGAAGATATCAAGAAGAGGTGGCAAGAATACACAGAAGAACTATACAAAAAAGATCTTAATGACCCAGATAACCATGATGGTGTGATCACTCACCTAGAGCCAGACATCTTGGAATGTGATATCAAGTGGGCCTTAGGAAGTATCACTACTATGAACAAAGCTAGTGGAGGTGATGGAATTCCAGTTGAGCTATTTCAAATCCTGAAAGATGATGCTGTGAAAGTGCTGTGCTTAATATGAAAGCAAATTTGGAATACTTGCCAATGGCCACAGAACTGGAAAAGATCGGTCTTCATTCTAATCCCAAAGAAAGGCAATGCCAAAGAATGTTCAAACTACCGCACAATTGCACTCATCTCATACGCTAGCAAAGTAATGCTCAAAATTCTCCAAGCTAGGCTAACACAGTACATGAGCCAAGAAATTCCAGATGTTCAAGCTAGATTTACAAAAGGTAGGAGAACCAGAGGTCAAATGACCAACATCCATTGGATCATAGAAAAAGCAAGAGAGTTCCAGAAAAACATCAACTTCTGCTTTATTGACTAAACCAAAGCCTTTGATTATGTGGATCACAACAAACTGTGGAAAACTCTTAAAGAGATGGGAATACCAGACCACCTGACCTGCCTCCTGAGAAGTCTGAATGCAGGTCAGGAAGCAACAGTTAAAATTGGACATGGAACAACAGACTGGTTCCAAATTGGGAGAGAAGTGCATCAAGGCTGCATATTGTCACCCTGCTTACTTAACTTATATGCAGAGTACATCATGCAAAATGCCATGCTGGATGAAGCACAAGTTGGAATCAAGATTGCTGGGAGAAATATCAATAACCTCAGATATGCAGATGACACCACAATTATGGCAAAAGAAAAGAGGAACTAAAGAGCCTCTTGATGAAAGTGAAAGAGAAAAGTAAAAAGCTGGCTTAAAAACTCAACATTCAGAAAACTAAGATCATGGCATCTGGTCCCACCACTTCATGGCAAATAGATGGGGAAACAATGGAAACAGTGAGAGACTTTTTCTTGGACTCCACAATCACTGCAGATGGTGACTGCAGCTATGAAATTAGAAGACACTTGCTCCTTGGAAGAAAAGCTATGGTCAACCAAGACAGTATATTAAAAAGCAGAGATACTACTTTGCTGAAAAATGTCTGACTAGTCAAAGCGATGGTTTTTCCAGTAGTCAGGTATGGATGTGAGAGTTGGGCCATAAAGAAAGCTGAGCCCCGAAGAACTGATGCTTTTGAACTGTGGTGTTGAAGACTCTTGAGAGTCCCTTGGACTGAAAGGAGATCAAACCTGTCCGTCTTAAAGGAGATCAGTCCTGAACATTCATTTGAAGGACTGATGCTGAAGCTGAAGTTCCCATACTTTCACCACCTGTTGCAAGGAATTGACTCATTGGAAAAGACGCTGATGCTGGGAAGGATTGAAGGCAGCAGGAGAAGGGAATGACAGAGGATGAGATGGTTGGGTGGTATCACTGACTCAGTGGAGATGAGTTTGAATAAATTCCGGAAGTTGGTGATGGACAGGGAAGTCTGGCGTGCTGCAGTCCATGATGGTCGCAAAGAGTCAGACACTACTGAGAGGCTGAACTGAACTGATATATATCTATATATTTGCATGCATGCTGAGTCGCTTCAGTCGTGTCCGACTCTTTGTGACCCTGTGGACTGTAGCCCTCCAGGCTCCTCTGTCCGTGGGATTCTCCAGGGAAGGACACTGGAGTGGGTGGCTGCGCCCTCATCCAGGGATCTTCCCGACCCAGGGATCAAAACTGGGTCTCTCATGTCTTCTGCACTGGCAGGCAGGCTCTTTACCACTAGCACCACCTGGAAAGAGTAAATATATATGGAAGCCTCTTTAACTTTTCTTTAATTGACTGTTTAAAAAGATTCAATGAGCAGCAAAGGTGAAGGGTGGTTTCCCGCAGGTAATTGGCCCTG